TCCAAAAGATACCAGGAGATCTCTAATTTTCATATGCTGCAAGAAAAGCATCAGCCAGCAGTGTCCTCTTTGCATGAAGCACAGAGTTCCCATTCATGTGGCACCTACATTGTTTAGAGCGCATCATTTCCAGGGATTTTCAAGACAATTTTTGCTCTGCCACCCATTTAATGCTTTTGTCTTTTAGTTCAGCTCAAGCTAAACTTGGATGTAAATGAAAGCAGGTGAGAGAGTCTGCTTTCTGGTTGCTCCTAATCTGCCTGTACAGCTGGGACAGAAGTTATGAGCTAGAAGACAATAAAAGAGGCAAAGGTGCAGCTATTACACTGGCATAAACAACTGCACAGCTTTGAAGTCAGTGGACCTTTGGTGGTTTGCACCAGCTGTGATTTAACAGACCTGGTAGGCCGTGAAATCTTTCATAATTAACTTGGACATTGTTAAATGTTTTGTATGTTTTATGGACTGGTTTTAACAACCTGCAAAGAAATGTATTACGCTGTAAACTCAACAGGGAAGCAAGAACAGGCTATAGTACATAAAGAGGGTGAGTTAACACTTTCTAGGGAATGCAGCATCTGACTCTTCGACTTGTAATTTTAACTCTTGTAAGTATTGCAATCATTCAGTGGTGTTCTTGTAGTTTTTTTACAACATAGAGGTTAAGTAGGTAAGGAGTGCTGGGGCTGAGTTTCAGCTCCTGATTCTGCACACGAAATGCTCCTGTGAAAAGCCAGTGCTCAGAGCTCTGCTGGTTGCCCCAGTACGGAATTAATCCTTCCATGATGAGTAAAGACTGCAGGTGGAGTTCTCAGGTGCCAGTGGGTGAAGAATTCTGTTCCCCAGCATCTTCTGTCCAAACCCTTCTTCCTCAGGTAGGGTGTTGTCTGGAGGAATGTGGGATGTTCCCTGTGACACAGATCCACAGATGCCAACTGTGCATCAGGACAACCTATTCGGAGTAAAAGGTGCCCCCAGTGAGTGCAGCAGTGACCCAGCCACTTCATACCCACAAAGACACTGTTTGTGTAGTGGTTTCTGTGCACTCATCTTTATCCCCCCCAAGTTCTTAGAGCATTTGTGATTCTAATGATTTCAACAGGAAATGGACTTTTGTACAAGCTTTCTCCTCCCCTTCCAGTTTCTCTCTGTGCAGCAGCTGCCGTTGCCAGGCTGTCTTCGTTGCTATGGTGGTGGTTTGTGTGCCAGGATTTTATATTCACTCCAGAAGAGTCACCTGATGGAGTGGCTGTGCCATGGAACTTATCGGTCTCCCTCATAAAGATAAAGGCTGTTCTGTCCATATGACACCCAGTAAATGGGTCAGATTAAATATGAACGGATTCCAGTGGCCACTGGCCGAGAGTCTGAGGTATTAACAGCTGAATTCTTTCAGTAAATGAGTGAGTTTGGTAGCTTTTCATTTCTTAACAACCACAAGGCAACTTCACTACACCTTGTGGCACTGGTAAGGTTTGAGTTTTCCTCTCTGGATGGCATGAAAGGAGCTTTTATCAGGAGGGCTGAGCTTTGGTCAGAAAGACAGGGTCAAATTTTCTGTATTTCCTTGCTGCAGAATTGTTCTGAAGAACTTAATGATCGTGCTCCCACTGATAATTGAAGTACAATTTGACCCAATTTAAAGTGCAATTAGGGTGATAAACTCAGTTCCACCAGAAGTATATCTTTAATCCCAACTCCTGCAAACACTTGCCACTTTTGTTTAACTCTTGGTATGTTCAGTCCCACCACTGCAGTGAAGCACTTTCAAGGCTGAGGCCACTGCTCCTTGTGCAAATCTAGATTTACACCAGTAAACTCAGGACAGCAAGTGACATGGGCATAATTCCCACATATTTTTCTGAAATCAAATTTTAAATAGTAAATTGAATTTAAAATAGTAAATTGAATTTTTAATGCATTTCTTGTATTGCCTCATGATACAATCTTGCAGTGTAACTTTTGCTGCGTCTTCATTTGGCCTGACTCTGATTACTGCTGTTATTTAAATGAGTTATTACTCCTTTTGCCCTATTTGTTTACATACATTTCCAGATGTGCATCTAAAATGTTCTGTGTTTGCAGTTATTCCCCTGGAAATGAAACATTGGTACCTAAGGCCATTATATAAAAAATAACACTTTATGGATATACTGCATTCAAATAACTTGTATTACTTGCACAGGGCAATCATTTTACTGCGCAGGCTGAGATTTCTTTGAACCTGCAGCAATGAAAACATCCAGAAATAGTTCCTGCAGCAACGTAGGACCAGCAGGTGTCACATCTGAAATGTACAATTTGGAATAACTATGTGAATAAGCCCATTGAGGTGTGTTGTTTTTTTTTCTAACAGCACATCTTTGTTTCACCGTTAGAACCTAAAGGGGCTGAGTCAAACAGCAGAAAATATATATAATAGATGAGGTGTTTGCTGAGGCTTATGGCATACTCGGAGGAAGGTGCCTGCTCCTTCCTTTGCCAAACTTGGTCCAACCATCTAATGATAAGACTTTTGCACTCCCCCTGGGTGTAACAATCCTGCTGAGCGCAGCTGCTTTCCAGGTCACCAATCCCAGGCCTTGCGGAAAAGGAAGCTTAGATTTAGACACAGACTGAATTTTTGTGTTGGTAGTATGTACTGCGTCCCAAGAAATGTGCTCCTAGCTGGAGCAGATGCTACTGAAGCACCAGCAAGAACACAGAAACTGGCTGGCTGAGTTGAAATTAAAATTCCCACTGATTTCACAGAGCCCAGGATTTCAGCACAGGCTGAATCATAAGCACTTCACAGAGCTGTTGTTTAAAAGGCACAGTCATAATGCCACTTCCTTTTGTGCTGCTTCTTCCTTTTGATGCACAATCCACTAGATATCTGCCATACAAAAGGCATGTTTCTCTTCAGCCAGATGCCATCAGATTAGAATACTCAAGGCTGAGAAAGCCTCAGAATTGCTGCAGACAGTACTTGATATCTGTAATGCCAGACACTGCTGTCAGAGCCTGTCCTGATCCATGGGCCCAGCTCTTCCGTGTTCACATCAGTGCCTGCCAGGATTCACCAGGAATCCTGAGGTATTGTCGAAAATTGAGATTGTTGTTCCCTAACAGAGGTTGTAAATGAGGCCAGGCCAAGTGAAAGTGGATTATGGACTTGTTGAGAACTGCCCCAGAGTAGGCATCACCCGTGGCACGTTTACATCTCCCCGAGGTCTGATTTCAGGGGACTGCTGCAAATGCAGGTGCTGAAGGGATTGTGGATAAGTACTGTAGCATCAATGCTCCTTGCTTTTGTCTTCTGAGCATTTTAATAGTATTTTTATTCTTTGGTACACTACATGCTGAGATGGAAAGGGAGTTTTGAAAATGATATTGAAAATTTCTCCCTCCCCCCATCACAGAGCAGCTCCAAATCAGTGCAGCCAAACTCAGAATTTGTCATTGCTCCTTTAAGTCATGGCAAATGAATGGAAATTAAAGCACAGAGCCAGCTTTCCTCCTGACTGATGCAACACCCACGTTTGCACAAGGTTAATAAGAATAAAAAAAGAGATCAAATGGGTTAATTGGCCTTGGAATGTGTATGCTGCAGATTCATCTCCCACTGAAGGCAATGAGAAGCTTTTCATTGAGGGGAAGAATTTGCAAGAGGCACAGAGGAAAAGCTTTAACAATTCTGTTTAAAGAGCAAATCAGGAGTACAATATGCCTGTTTTGCAGCTTTTTAATTAAAAAACCCAAGCAAACATCTCCTCACTTAGATTGTATATATTTTTATATAGAGCTGTTTTGAAATGCCTCTGAACTAAACAGTTTTTTTTCTTCAAAGACCTTCTTTCTACATGGTTTGCTCTGTCTATAGCAGAAAACTTGGCCTGCTGCCCTGAAATCCTAAGGGTCAATTGGAAACCTTGACAGAGAAATTAGAAGTCTCATGTGCTGTGTCATCTGATGCTTTATCACTGCTGTAACTGCACAGGGGCACTAGCAGAGAGGATGTCACTGGTGGAGCACATCTAACTTTGTTCTTCAAAATCCTTTCTTTAAAACTTCTGGATTTAGGATTTTGCTGGGAGAGAGGATGCTTTGCCATCTTTATGCCTTTTGAGTTGAGTATTCCTAAAACTAAATTGAAGCCATGTGCCTTTGTTCTGAGGAAGCCCCTTCATCCTATGAAAACAAAAAGCTTTGGTTAAGCAATTTCTGTGTATTTAAAGCACAGAGCCTTGTTGGGAGTTGCTTGCGCTGCTCTCTTTCAGAGTCTTTTGGCATCACTGTGCAGGCCCAGTGCTGCCCTTCTGCTCTGCTTTGGCCATAACTGTTCCCTCAAAGCTAAAACCAAACTAAAACATGAGAAGTTCCACCTCAACATGAGGAAGAACTTTATGTTGAGAGTGGCAGAGCACTGGAACAGCTGCCCAGGGAGGGTGTGGAGTCCCCCTCCCTGGAAATGTTCCAAACCCACCCGGGCAAGTTCCTGTGTCACCTGCTCCAGGTGACTCTGCCTGGGTAGGGGAGGTGGGCTGGATGACCTCCAGAGGTCCCTTCCAGCCCGAACTGCTCCAGGGCTTCTGTGATTCCGTGAACTTGCACTCGGTCCCCCTGCGCTCACCCTTTTTGCACCCACATCTCTCAGTAGGACAGGACGGGCGGGCACTCACCCTCGCTCCCCTCTCGGGCATTTCGCTGCGGCGCCGCAGCCCCACGCGTGCCTCCCGCGGGGGGGACACGGATCTGCCGTTCGCAGCGCCTCCCTGCCCTCCTTCTGCGTTCCCCTCGGCGGGGCAGGCGCTGTCCGGGCTCCGGCGGTGCCGGGAGGTGGCGCCGCGGTGCCGCCGGCGCTGCCCTGGGCGCGGGGGAACCTCGGGGGCCGAGCCTGGCGGGGCGGGAGGAGGAGGAGGAGGAGGAGCGGCGGGGAGGGAGGGAGGGAGCGGAGCGGGCAGCGCGGCGGCTCCGTGCCCTGCGTGCGTGCGCGTGTGTGCGGGGAGCGGGCGGGCGGCATAGACAGGATATATAGAGGATGTGCCGCCGCATGGCTCGCCCCGGCCGCCGCCGCCGCCGCGCCAGCTCCTTGGGCGAGCGCCAGTGAAGCGCCGTCGCCCTCGCCGGCCCGGGCAGCGCCTCCCTGCCCGCTCCGGGTGCTCCCTGCCGGCCTCGCTCCCGGGTTTCCGGCGTCCCTCCCGAAGCGGCCGCGCCGGGGGCGAGCGGCGCGTCCATGCGGGGCCGATGGCCGGGGCTCAGCCTGGGGTGCACGCCCTGCAGCTCAAACCCGTCTGCGTCTCCGAGACCCTCAAGAAAGGCGTCAAATTCGTCAAGTGGGACGATGTGAGTACTCTCCGCTTCCCTCGGCAGGGGCACGGCTGTGTCCCCTCCGGAATGGGGCTCTGGGTGCACGTGTTGCGGCCCCCCGGCCCTGCCCGCTGCGGGACCCCGGGGGCGGGCGATGGGTGTCCCCGTCCGGGACCGGCGGCCAAATGCCGGGCAAACTTTCTCCGAAGGCTCCCCGATCTCATTTCACTTGGCCGGTGCGAGCTGTGTTGTGCTGGCTCCTTTAGCGAGCGCCTGCTTTTCCCGCCTCCCGTGTTTCAGTGTGCATGTTGCCACTTCTGTCCTCGTAACATAGTTGTTTCAACCTGTTCTTTAATCTCCCGTCGCCTGCTCGCAGCCTCTCCTCTCCTTTCTGGCTCCTGTCCTCCTCTCTGTCTCTCCGGCGAGCTTGTCAGGCCCTTGGATGCCTTCTCCCAGGGCTCACAGCTTTGGTACTCTCGTTCATCTTCCTCTCTCCTTCTTTGCCTCAAAATCATCCGCTTTACCTTTAGCGCTTGCTGCTTCCCAAGTCTTTATGCTTGTATTGCCTCACGTAGGGAAGGAGCGTGGTTTCCACTTTACCTTCGGTAGCACAGCTGTTCAGCAGCTGGAATTTCCTTCTTGGCGTGCCGACTGTGCCCGGGACAGTTTCAGAAAAAGGCAACTTTTCTTTATTTAGTTTTCCTTTTCCCAAAGCCTGTTGTGTCCTCTGTTTAGCCTCGCTCCTGCAGTACAGCATCGGGTGTTTGTGTCTCAGCTGTGCATGGAGGAGCAGGTGTCCCAAAAAGTCTGTCCGGCAGCGGTGTCTGCAGACAGAGGGGCACCGTGAGACTCGAGCTGTGGTAGAGAAATGGTTGGGAAGGAAGGCAGGCGGTCTGAACATCACAGTTGTTGAGGATGGCTCGTTTTGAGTGCTCTTGTATTTTTTGCTGCGAGTTAGAGTGTGCTGAAAACATCCACAGCAACAACTGGAGGGTCAACAGAGAGGGAGAAGGAGCAGTTCATGTGTAACCACAGTTCTTGTTACATATTGCTCTTTTGCCCTTGCTTTCAGCCTGTCCAGCAGCCAAATGTGTGAGCCTGACCTCTGTAAAACCTGTGATAAACACTCTCAAGGAGAGAGAGAACATAAGAAACCGAACAACTTGCAGTGTGAAATTTTATTTACAGTAATAAGCAAACACAGCTTTAATAGGCTCGGCAAACTGACCTTGTCCACCGTAGTAAACATTGGCTTTTGATACAGGTTATTTATGTTCAGGAACTAAGCTTGAATGACTTGCCTGGGAAAATGTTTCCTTGCAGTTGACATTTTCCTTAGGATAGGAAAAGGCAGCACAGCCTCAGCCTTGTCACTGTAGTTATTGTTTTATTTTTGGTAAGCTACCAAGAAACTTCCACAGGTTTATGCAGAGGTCAAGTGACTGAAATCTCCAGACTGAAAACCCAAGCTGTGAGACAGCAGTTTAAATTCTTAGTTTAAGTGCTATTTCTATGTATTGTGTACATAGAATCAGGAGGAGAAGTGTTCTCCACGCACAGTGGATGTTCAGTGGCTAACCTGTCTGCTATGGACTAACAGGAAAAAAGATGAAGACTGACGACCTAAAGGCTACAACAATAAAACATAGCTAAATTCTAGTAAAATATGTGCATTTCAGGCTAAAGGTGTTACTCAGGGACACACAGGTGTCACCTGGGATGTGTGACTGAGGTGAGAGTCCTGTTGCGTTCAGTGAGTGCTCTCATTGGCAATCTTGTGAAAGTTGATGCGTATTTAGCTACGCTCACGAAGAACTGTGGCATTAACTCACGGGTGTCTATGCATTGTGTGTATATTTGCACATTTCCCACCCCTCAGCCTCCCTGTCTTGCCCACAGTGTTTCTTCTCAGCAGTGGAAGCCCCCCAAAATCCAAGATTTCAAGGAAAGTGTGTCCTGTTGCTATGCTGGCTGTAAAAAGATCTTCATGCGAATGCACGTGTGATGCCTTTGAAAAGTGTGTGCCATTGAGTAGCCAGTAACCCCTTCAGAGTCTTTGTTTTCCAGGAAATTCATCTGCTGGAGGGTTTTTAAAAATGATGGTTATTAACGTGACCCTCGGTGGTTGTCATGTAGGCAGGCATGCACAACCCCACGGGGGAAACAATAGGCTCTAATGAGGAATGGCAAACTGCAACATGGAACAGTAGAACAGAATTGACCATAACGAGTACTTGGGCTCTGCTGTGCTCCCAGGGCTGCTCAGGAAAGCCAGGCTTACACCCTGATGTTTGTTATGCACCGTTTTCCTTTCACTGTGGGAGTGAGAGCAGGAGTTCAGCTCTTCCATGTGCACTGGGGCAGCATTTGTTCCTCTCCGAGGCACGTTCTTGTAGTTCCCTTCCCTGCTGCTTTGGGTTGCAGTTTAAAGGTGCTCCTATTGACTTGCCTTTGTGTTCCATGAAGCACAAGTGTTGCCTGTGAATTCCTATGACTGGTACCAACTTTCAGACCAAAGCAGAATTTTTCCAGCTGGGTTCTAAACCACTGGAAAGCAGCAGCCTTTTAAAGTGGGAATGCTGGGAGGATTTAAAGCGGGGCATGAGAGGTGTGTAAGGAATTTCATGGTGCATAAAGTAAGGGTTGTTAAAGATCGTACTTGCCAGCTTTGAGAAGGATGCTGTGCTGTGCAGAACAGTGACAAAAGCTGCAGTGACAGAGACTCCAAAACCAGCCCACACATTGATATCCCATCCTGAGCCTCTGTGCCTGATCAGGAGCTCTGAAGCCCTAATAGGTGTGGTACTGATGATTTGCACGGGCTCCCTCCCTGAGGAACAGCAGTGGAGTTTGCTGCACATCTCACATGAACCTCAGCACTGTGATGATGATCCAGTGGGAAAGAGAAATGCCTGGCCTGAGCTTTGCTAAGAGGAGAGGAGGTTATGTCAGCCCCTCAAGACCACTCACATACAGGCAGGTGGAAAGCTTAAAATGCCATTTCCTTTGCAGACCATCTGCAGCTGTAAGAGCAACAGGATCAATTAAAAAATTTCTGGCTTTGCAAGACAAGTCCCTCTTTTGTACCTCGGGATCGGACGTGGTAGCGCTCACACCATCCGCTGCCTGATACACTCTAATACACAAATTCCCTTTGGGATCAGGGTATAAAGCACCACAGTCAAACAGATTATTGTTGTCTGGTAACTTTGCCTTTCCTCACACTGTTTCTGTTTTACCCTGTAACAGTATTACAGGTTGGAAAACAAATTTTAGAAAGAATCCTTGCTCTTGATGTGGAGTTTGGGTTCACGAGGCACTGAGCAGGAATAGGTGAAGGATGAACGTGGCTGGTTGCGTAGGTGTTATTTTTGTGGATGTATCCACCTGTATGCCTGGTTCCAGATGGTTAGTTGGCTGAGCACTTGCTTCTCCAGATCATATTTTTTCATATTCATCATATTTTTTAGGTCTCTGTGCCTGCTTCTCCCTTAGTGCTGGGGAGAGACTGAGCCTCTCAACTCCTGCTCTGGCTTCGAGCAGATGTGCTTGTATTCCTAGAGGGAGGGAAAGCTTCAGGGAGAACTGACCTGCTCCCCTCTGCTCTAGGGATACCCAGGTTGCAGCTCTTCCAGATGACAGTTTTACAGCAGTTGAATAAACAAAGAAAAAGGTGGCAGTTAAGTCCACAGGTGAAGCTTTTTGGGTAGGGGCTTAAGCTTAATGACAGTGGAGAGGGGTGATGAGTCCTGAGTATAAAGAGTGACTTCTCTCAGGACTGGTCTGACTTCTGAAGGGCTCAAACCTGCCTTGGCTGACACTTCTTTCCCTGTTTTTCTCTGGCCTGTGACGGGAACAAGGTGGGTAAAACGGAGTGAACAAATATCTCAGCAACCAGAGCAGAGCTGATGTTTTCCAAGAGTAGCAAGTGAACACGATGGCGCATATTCAGAAATAGATTTGTTTTCATTTCTTGCTTAAAGGCTTCCTTATCTTCCCCAGTGATAACGGTGCACTTTGCATAAACACTTTGCAGGCTCTCTGTGTGGCTCACACTCTTACTTGCAAGTTAAGTGCATTGGTAAGGTAATGAAACTACCTAAATGGAGAGCCATCGTTCCAATTTTCTAGCCATGTATTTTTTTTCCAAAAATTTTGGATTACTGGAGGATAGGTAGCATTGCTTAGTGGCTACAGCATTTGCCCAGTGAGCAACAAAAACAAACCCAGGTCTTTTAAGTTCTCTTTTAATGCCTTTCTCTTGGAGCACTTTATCTTAACAAAGCTTTTTTGAGCTCAGATGGTGAATGTTATGTTTGCAGTCTTCTTTATTTGCTTAAAATCTTGCAGAAGATTATCAGGAGCATGAGATACGTCCCCTTTTAACCTTGCAAGTAAATGTAACATCAGAACATCATTATTATAGATAAGCTGGGATGAAACAAATAAACAACCTGGGAGCTTTCAGAAGCTATTTTAAGATCTCGATGCTGAAGTAACTTTCTTTTTCCCTTGCCTAGTTGTGTTTGTTTTTAAACTCTGCCCAAGCCTGTCACTCCAGTACATTAGTGAGGCCATGAAAAATGAGCAGCCATTGTTCTGTGTGTATAAAAGTAAAACAATAAGCTGAGGAGAGTTTATTTTTTTTTTGGTCTGTTTTCAGTCTGGAGGGAAGATGTTAGTCCTAAATTCTAGAGTTTTTGCTGGTCCTTCCTTGTTGCTGATCTTTATGTAGTAAACAAATAGCAGCTCCGTGCCGGATAGAAATAGTTAAAATGAAAAATTGTGGTTTTGCTCTTTTGCAACACAGGAGAATAATCAGATGGAGATAAAATGTTAGCAGTTAACGTTTATTTAAGGGGAAAGCCCTAATTTAACTCAGTTAGTAAGCTCTTTATCACTTGAGTGTGTGTGGGGGGAAAGATCTGAGACTGAGATGCCTGTCTGGGAAGATGTGGTGGAGACTTTACATATTTAAATCATAGATAACATCTGTTATTGGAGCATCAGAGCTCTTGGGAGTGTTGGTGGATAGT